ACGCCCTGCAGGAGGGCCAGGGCGAGGGCCAGACGGTGGCGAGGGCGGAGGACCCCCTCGCGGCCGCCGACGCGGGCGACGACGAGGAGGAGCGAAGGAAAGGCCTCCTGAACGCCCTCGTCGCCACGGCCACGGCCAAGCCCACCACCTCCCTCGACGACATCTTCATCAGCGTCAAAACCACCAAGAAATTCCACAAGGAGAGGCTCGAGATCCTCCTCAGGACGTGGTTCAAGCTCGCGCCCCACCAGGTGAGTCGCCGAGCCTCTGCAGCGGCATCGGGCACTTCGTTGGCATTGGCTTTCGGGGAGGGGATTGAGGCGGATATTGTCTTATCGTAAATATGTATGAGTGTGTGTGTGTGCGTGAGGCTTTGTGTGCGTGTGTAAATCAGTCAGTTGATTTATTAGCCAACCTGCATATCAGGCCTACCATATACATGATATACTTCTAAAATCTCTCTCTCTCACACACACACACACACACACACACACACACACACACACACACACACACACACACACACACACACACACACACACACACACACACACACACACACACACACACACACACAAAGGGAAAATTGCAGGCAGACAGCCACAAAGGTGAAGAAATCAGGCAAGCTAGCACTGGCCCATACACCCATAACGAGACCCCACGTGTGTCTCCCTAAGTCTAAAACTAGGCATCCAGGCGGTCTTAAAAGTCTGCCAGGCAACAATTATAATGTCAGAAATTATACCCCAGCCTGGATCAGCTGTCAGTCACGCCCGCCGCCCTCAAAGCATCAATTATGAACGGTTAATGAGTGACTGGTTCAACTGACCACTAACGGAGTGTTCTGTTGTGTGTCCTTTTCGTTGTGTGTTTTTGTTTCATTGTTGTATTTGTTGTTGTTGTTGTTGTTTTATGGGATTGTTTGGATTTTTGTCTGTATGTTTGTGTGTGTGTGCGATTGGTTATTTTTTTGTATTGTTTATTTTGTATGTGAGTGTATGTCTGTGTTTGAATTGCTTGCTTTTAACGGAAATTTAGTTGATTGTCTGGGTGTCTTTCTGTCTGATATATATTCTATTAGTATGTCTGTAAACTGCACATAAACTATGCCATTTCCTTTTTTTCTTTCTTTTGTTAAAGTTGATTTAAAGTTGATTTATTGGGTGTATCTTGCATATATCGTGCTTAAGTGTAAGCAGATTCCTCCCTCTCTCCTCCCATGTATTTATCTTTCTACACTATGCTCGTTTGTCTCTCTCTCTCTCTTTTATCAATCTCTGTACCTTTCTTCATCCTCTATCAACCTTTATTTTTATTTTGAATACCCGTAATATCACTTTTATTATGAAAATCGCGAAGGAATCTTACCACATGGACCTAAAGTTAGCCTCGGGACAGAGAATGGGAGATGAGGAAAACATGAGAAGAAATGGGGGGGAGGGAGGGAGAGGATGGGGATATGGGAGAGAGAGAGAAGACAGGTGGCCCAGTATTTTTATTAGAGAACAAGGGAAAATAGGTCATAGGGACACGAAATCCCTTGGACTCATTTGTCGTGACCCTGATAGGCCTATGTCAGTCAGGTCAGGGCAGGTCAGGGGATGAAGTTGATATCAATATCCTTCATATTCACTTTTTTTTCGAAATATTTGGTTGGTGTTTGGTGGGAAATAAGTTGGTTTTCATAAGAGTTTGAGATTGATTTGCTTAAATGCAAGCGTTATATATATATATATGTGTGTGTGTGTGTGTGTGTGTGTGTGTGTGTGTGTGTGTGTGTGTGTGTGTGTGTGTGTGTGTGTGTGTGTGTGTGTGTGTGTGTGTGTGTGTGTATGTATGTATGTATGTATGTATCTATGTATGCGTGTACGTACAATAGTTTTATTCCTATATCACGGAAAATATCAGCTCTATATCAGTCTCCAATATTGCTATGTACTGAATTACTTATTTATGATTCCTTAACCCTATTTTTCATCGGTTATTCAACGATATAAAAAAAAAAGAAAAATACCAAGAGAAAAGATCTATACATATACATATATAAGTAACCGGTAAAACGAACAGCGACCTGAGGAAGGGTGGGAGAGATTGGTCTAATATTTACCGTGAAGAAACCAGTTAGAAGAGGGAGAAGGAGAGGGGGAAGAAGGAGAAAAAAAGAGGGGGGAGGAGAAGATGAAGAAGAGGGGGAAGAGGAAGAAGGAGAATACGAAGGGGAAGGGAAGGAAAAGGGAAAGGAAGAAGGAGAAAATACTAAAAATAAGAACTGTGATCATATTAATAAGTAATAATAGTAGGAAAACAAAACGAAATAATAACTATAAGAAAAGAGGTAATAAGAAGAAAGAGAATAAAAAAAGAGAACTGGAGGAGAGGGAGTAACGTACGGATAGGGATAGTTGATAAAAAGTATTTTTTAAAATTTACTTTTTGTATTGTATTTTAGCAGTTGTAGATATCAGTATTTTTATATATATGTATATGATGGCTGGTAGTTAGGTAGGTAGACAGATTGGTAGATTTATAGATAGATTTGTAGATTGATATTTAGATGGATAAATAGATAGATACTTATACGGTGCATATATATATATTTGTTCGCGCGCGCCTGTGTGTTTGCGAAAATCTGAAAGCACAGCCTAAAAGGTTTTTTAAAAATACCCAAAACAACCATTCAGAACCGTTCACCCCCCCCCCTCCCTCTCTCTTCCCCCCCCAAAAAAAATAAACTTACTCCTGCAGGTTCCTCCTATCCCCCCCTCCCCCTCCCGTGCTAGAAATGACCTTCCCAAAATAAGCGAAAATCCCTCCTTTGTCCTGTGACCTCATCCCACCCCACGTGACCTTCGTTTGACCTGCTCCTAGGGATGACCTCTCCGTAGGCGGTGGTGACCTGAGCTCTCTCTCTCTCTTTTCTTTTCTTTCTCTTTCTCTTTCTCTTTCTCTTTCTCGTTCTCGTTCTCGTTCTCGTTCTCGTTCTCTTTCTCTTTCTCTTTCTCTTTCTCTTTCTCTCTCTCTTTCTCGTTCTCGTTCTCGTTCTCGTTCTCTCTCTCTCTCTCTCTCTCTCTTCTTCTCTCTCTCTCTCTCTCTCTCTCTCTCTCCTCTCCTCTCCCTCTCCCTCTCCCTCTCTCTCTCCCTCTCTCCCTCTTCCTCCCCCTTCCCCTCCCTCCCTCCCTGTTAGAGGTCAGGTGGCAGGTGGAACAAGTGTTTGGGGGGGAATAGGGGGGGGGGAGGTCAGTGGTTAAGGGACACCAGTAATTACCATATTTCGTTTATGAAAATCAGGTGTTGTGTTGTGTTGTTGTGGTCGTTGTCTGGGATGTTCGTATTGAGATAATTATCAGTATAAGTTGTAATTTGGTGCCTATTGGTTTATTCGGTTGTATTTTTTTTGGTTTTGTTTCGTGTATCGTTATAAGTTTTAATTTTCCAAAAATCTCCCAAGTCTATCAATTGTAGTTTTCTTTTTTTATATCTCGTGTGTGATTGTATGTTTTTTTTTTTTTTAATCTTATCATTATATGTTGTAGTTTTTTATTTTAATCACGTGTAATGTTATTTGTTGTAGTTTTTTTTATCACGTGTCTGAAGAATCGTATTTTTTTTTCTTTTTTAGTTTTTGGTTATTTTTTTGTGTGTTGTATCGTAGGTCGTAATTTTGTTCTGTGTTTCTTTTATTCTGATAACAATTCGAACTGAGAACAAAGAAAGATAAATTGTTATCTTTAATCAGTGTCTCCCTCGGGACGGTACATAGGAGATGATAAAATACTCTTCGGTAAAGATACGATAACAAAGAGAAAATAGTAATAGTAATAATTTTTAAAAATGTATATATTAAATAAAAAATATATATAAAAATAGGTCGATGTAGCCATTTTGGAATCTCAATTTTCAGAACAGAAAATCAAGTTCAATTTTGGCTTATATTTTCTGCCATTTCTGGTAATCACCATAGTATCTGATGCTTTATCTCCTTATCACTGTGCATCTTCATACATTTAAGCCACGTTATGAGCTTCCCATTTTTTTCAACTTTATTTCGTCAAATTTGGTCATTTTCAGTCCATCTCGGTATATATGTATATATATATATATATATATATATATATATATATATATATATATATATATATATATATATATATATATATATATATATTTATATACATTTTTCTTCTTTTCTTTTTTTATCAGCTTACCTCGCCAAATGCGAAACATTTACATCGCTATGTTAGAAGCACACACGCACATACACACACACAAACATGGCACTGTCTGGCATTGGAGAACACTTGCTCAACCAGTAAGCGAGCTCGCACTAGCAGCAAGGACAATAACAACATCAACAAATAAAAAAACACAAACAACAATAGTGTGACGTCACCAAAACAGCTGATCCTTCCCTCAAACGATCTCACGAACATCACATAACAACGCACTGTGATATAGAGTTGCCGGTTTTGGATATCGTTGGAGTTTTTCGCCTGTTGTCTCTCGTGTGTGTTTTTTTATTGTCTGTCTCTGTCTCTCATTCTTTGTGTGTGTGTGTGTTTGTGTTTGGTTCTCTAAGTATCTTGATTTTTTTCTTCTTGTTTTTGTATAATGATTCTACTTCTCCCTTTCTATGTCTGTCTGTCTGTCTGTCTCTCTCTCTCTCTCTCTCTCTCTCTCTCTCTCTCTCTCTCTCTCTCTCTCTCTCTCTCTCTCTCTCTCTCTCTCTCTCTCTCTCTCTCTCTCTCTCTCTCTCTCTCTCTCTCTCTCTCTCTCTCTCTCCTCCCCTTTCTCTTTTCGCTCTTTCTCTCTCTCTCACACACACTTTTCTTATTTGAATTATTCTATTCACCCATTTATCTTTTTTTTTTCTCTGCGAGGAAAGAAGCTACTCACATGACACATGAAAATGCACTGGGGCAACATACGGGAGAGATTAGCGTGCGCGAGTGAGTAAACGGACAGCGCACGCAACATACCACATGCGTGTGAGTACGCGTGTGTACGTTTTGTCAACTTCATGTGTACGCGCCGTTGTGTGCGTATTTGCACGTCTGTGTTGTGTGAGTGTGTTGAACGCAGTGTCTACTTTTTTGTGTGTGTACGTGCCTATGTGCGTATTCACGTCTGGGTTGTGTGTGTACGCAGTTTCTACGTTCTGTGTACGTGCCTATGTGCGTATCCGCGTGCCTGGGTTGTATAAGTGTGTGAACGCAGTGACTACTTTATGTGTGCGTGTCTGTGTACGTATTCG